GCCACCGCGAGGTGTCAGTGGGCGTGGACTGGCCAGCTCTAGACATCATCCGAACTCTTGAACTAAGCTCCCTCAGCCACCAAGGAGGAGAGAAACCACCCAGGAATTCCAGGCTACCATAGTCTGCTCAGAGCAAGGCAGGCCATCCTAAGGAGAAATATTTCAAGAAACCTATGATCAGGCTTCAAAATAATTTTATTCCTTCAAATCACTCATTTAAGAAAGCACTCTGAAAGGCCTACCTTACGGGAGACTGGTCACTATACTGTCACTGGATAGTGCTGTTGCTTACACATCAGATTCTTCACCATCTGCCTTCTCCCACAATGCATCGTACTCATCCTCCAAGGCTCAGCCGTACTCCCTCTCCTCCAGAAAGCCTTCTCAGATCTCTCCAGGCTTCTTTGTGTGCACCCCCAGCTGGGACACCCAGAGCACAGCATACCGACTGTCCCGTGCCATAGCACTCTCCCCCAGCCAGTGAGAGCCCTCTGTAAAAGGGGTCTACCTCACGCCCATCTCGAGGTCACTGATGTCGTGCCCCTTGTCTGTTCTCCAAGATGGAATTTAAGGTAACTGGAAGCAGGATTGTCTATCCCTCGAATTGAGATCGAAACCACCTTGACTGAAGCATGTGGGACCCAGTCTGCTCCTCCTTGACCCTTGGTGGTATCAGGAGCCAAGGAAGGGGGCAATGCAAAGGAAGCACATCTGGGTCATGTGGACACTGGATTCGTGGAGGCAAAACCAGACTGGTTCATTTGGAATGAGTAAAGCAGCGTTACGGTGGGTGGAGGGATAGAGTCTAGGTCATCAAGTTGAAGTTGACACTTAGCATTGAGTTTGGCTTTTGTTTTCTAAGAAGAGTTGAATTACCCAAATAATTGGGTAGACCCAGCCTATGGGATTATCTTTTGGTGGGGGGAGGGGTCCACTTAGCTATTCAAAGCCACGTTCCCACATCTCTATGAAATATGCTTTGGAGAGATGCCCATTGCCATCCAGTCAAATTCCGACTTATAGCCACCCCATAGCTTGGAGTGGCTTCGAAGGCTGTGAACCTTCTATGGAAGCCAACTGCCACGTTTTTCACATGTAAAGCCGCAGGTGGAGTCAAACCTCTGATCTTTCAGTTAGCAGGGAGCAGCACTAACCACTGTGACACCAGGGCTCCTCCAACCAGCTCTCTTTGGATATTGGTGCAGAAAGGTCATTCCCCCCACCCCTGGTGCTAAAGGCATTGAAGCACCCTGAACTGCATACAGCGATGCGCACCGTTTCCCCATCAGGAAGTTTGTGGTGTGAGAAACATTTCACTTTCCCACCTTTGACTCTGCCCAGGTAGCCACAGGGAATAGAATACCTGCACCCAGCACCCCTCATTGCTAGTGCTACAATTGAAAATGCAGGTTCTTTTCATGGGAGCTACAGATGCCAATGATGACTTTGATGGAGAGATTTTATTTTTTCAGATCAGGGGTTCATAGATTCCCTTGTATCTCAGGGTATCTGTTTTCATATGGACTTTTCGGACATAAATCTGTCTTGGAAATATTCAAATTTTCTTTCTTCTTCTTCTTCTTCTATTTTTTTAGCTGTAGAAGGCCCCCACTTGGCACCATCAGCAGGCAGAATAGTATCCTGGTCAGACATCAGGCTGGAAGAACCTGTGCTTCAGGTCCTTCCGTAAATGTGCAGAGTTTAACAACCTCCTATGACTTTTGTTTTCCTGTTGGGTACTTTAAAATAAATCTCACCTAACTTTATTCAAAAGAACCCTTTGTAAACATTCACAACAGTCCCTTTAAATTTTGTTTCCTCTGCCCAATAGGGAGAAAAATGCCCTCCCTCAATTTTAGGAAGAAAAATATTTTTAAACTACTAAATATAATAATAGTTGAAAAGTTCCCCCACACCTCAAATACACATTCCGGGGTAGGGGATACGCTTACCTAGTCACTTCTTGTGTATGAGCAGAATTATTTTTCTTAATTAAATGGGAAAATGTTTTTTAATTGTCATAAATCTATATATGCATGTTTCCAGAACGAATACGCCTGTAGTCCGTGTAGCCGTGCCATTTTCTACTTGAGGATTTTGCCTTGGGAGAAGTACCCAGTCTGGGGAGCTTCTGAGGAAATTTTAAAACCCAAACAAAAGCATTATTACCGCTGTCATCCACTCCCTCCCCCTGATGAAAAACAATTAATGATTTGCATATGCTTGTGACAGAAATTAAAGACAAAGAGCCCCTCACTGGTTGTGGCTACTGGGCAGACCTCAGCCCTTAGCAGAGACTCAGCCAGCACCGGCCTCCAAGCGAATAGTACCAAGCTCCAGAACTAAAAAATAGGGGTTCTGGACCCGTTAGCCCATTTGCAGTAGAACTGTGCTTCCCAATCAGAAACCTCACCCAATCCCTCTATGAACTTGGAGGCCAAAAGAATATATAGTTGCAAGGGGGAAGAAATATGTATGTACTTTGCCCTCTTTAAGGGCCAAACACTGTAATGCTAAATAGAAATTCTTGTCTGCTAATATGTTCCTTTAGTTTGTAATAAATAAGAATGCTAATGACTAAATTTAGTATTTGGTATGCATTCGCTTTTGTGAGCTTTTCTTTACAGTCCTCATTGACATGCAATATGGCAAGCTTCCTTTGAAACATATTTATAAAATAACTACAGTATAATTAAACCAACAAAGCCATCTTTTAAGTAAGCTTAATAGCTCAGGGTTTGTTCCCCTCCCCAACTCGACAATAAAACAATTTTTTAAAAAGAAAAATAGTTGTGTCTCAATCCCACCGTGTATTTTACTGTGCGCATCTAATATTTCCTTCGCATCTACAATCTATGCATATCTAATTCTTTTTGACAACTGTGATTATTAATAAAGTGCTTGTGAAAGATATGCTTCATAGCTTCTTCAATAAGAATACTTTTTGGTTGTTAATGGAAATTGTAACGTATCTTGACAGATACAATATATAAGATGTGCTTTTCTCTTCATTGTTAATACTGCAACGCTGAACATACAAGGAGCAGATCAACAGATATGGCAGGTAATCATCAGAGTAGATGCTATTTTATACAATGTAACTAAAAATATTTTAATGATATAAAAGCAGTAGATAAATAAAAGCAATTATGTTTCCTTTTGCTTTTGGCTTGCCAGCCCTTTGGGACGGTTGTTGGCGGTGTGTCTGCAGAAAGCAGAAGGAGCGGCGGCGGCTGCGCGGCTGGGTCGGGCCGAGGGTCCGGCGGGCGGCCGCTGCCTTTGCTCGGGCGCCGCCGGCGTCTGGAGGGGCGCCGGGCCGCGCGGTTGCTAATTCGGGACGCGCAGCGGTTCAAGTTCACCGAGTTTCCCGCCGCGGTGACGGCAGTGCCCCAGGGCCCAACGCCTCGCGGGTTCAGACCAAGTCATTTCCATGAAGACAGAACTCGAAAGCCACCAGCGGCGCGACTGGGCCTCCCGGAGCCGCTCTGGCTGCGTCTCCGCCGGGCTTGAGCTCCCGGGCCCTGCCGCGCCGTCCTCCCACCCGCCTCCCGCGCGCAGAATAAACACAGTTGACATCACGGTTAGAATCTTTATTTAAAACTGTTTCCAAGGTGACAAATTACCGTGCCTCCCGTGCAACAGGTTCCTCCGAAGCGGTATCATTACAGATTAACTGTAATGTGTAGGATTAGAATAAAAGCATAAGCGATTAGGTTAAAAAAAAAGGGGGGGGGACGTGCGAGAAATAATGCATCGTTCTGCGACCCCGCGGCCCGAGACTGCGTAGACGGGTGTGTCCCCCCGAGCCCACGCGCCGCCGAGCTGGCCCGGCTCCCCGACCCGGAGCGGGAGTCAGTGGCGGGGCCTGCGGAAGAGCCGGTGCAGCGCGGAGCTGCGGGCCAAGGCCCAGGCTCAGGCGGCGAAGAGCCGGGAGGCCGGGAGGCGCGAGCCGGCCACCAGCGGGCGGGGTGGGACGGGCACGTCCAGCGGCGCGGGCTCCTCGCCAGGGCCGTCCGCGGAGCGTCCGGCTGCGGCCGGCACGTCCAGGCGGCCGGCGCGGACTTGCCCGGGAGGCTAACAGCGCCGTCCAGGCCCCGAGCCTGCGGGGCCCCGTGGGCGCCCTTGTCTGCCCGCCTCGCCGCCGCTCTCGGGATCCGGGGAGGTCGGGCAGGGGGCTCTGGGAGTGAGTGGGCAGCGCCCAGGTCACCCGCACCCTCGGGAGGCCAGGCTCGGCCTTCGCCACCAACCAAGGTCACTGAGTCTCCCTCCCCCCCCAACGCGGCCCCCAGCCGCCTCCCGGCGCTGCTTCTTCCTGCGGGGCCCGGCTTGGCGCTGGCCCCGGCGGGCATGCACCTGCCCCCGCCCGGGCCCCCGGGGCCCTGGGCCCTGACGGCTGAGTTCGTGTCCGCTGGACAAACGAACAGGGCCGGGGGCGCGAGGCCTGGACGGAAGTGCGCAACGTGGCCTGAGCGTCCAACAAAGGCCTTGTCGGGACCCGGTCACCCCGCGGTGACCCCGGCCCGCCCCGCTGGGCCGCGGGTTCCAAGCCTTCCTCCGGGCTCGGCGGGCGCGCGCCCGGCGCTCGCGGGGTGGGCTCCGGACCTCGGCCGCCGCCCCCGGCTCTCCTTGGGCCCCGCAGGCCGCGCTGCAGCCCCCAGCGCCAGGTCCATGCCAGCTCGGCCTTCGGCTACGCTTCCCCCACCTCTGCCAGCCGGCGGAGCCTGCCGTGGCCAGCGGCCCGGCAGGGCCCGAGCGGGCTCCTACATGGACGAAAGTGGGCGACCAACATCACCACGGCGCCTGCTTCCGGGAGAAGGGCCCCGGCGGAGGCGGCGGCGGGAGGGGACGGTTGCAAACAGCTGTTCCTCATACATATTTCATTACACAATCAGATAATGCGTCCCACCACCTTCTCAATTATTCACAGATAAACATTTTCAAGACGTTTTGACATCTGTCTTAGTGCCTGCTATTAATTTAGTAATCACTGTAGTTGAAAATGTATGGGATTTTTGCCGTCGGAGCACCTCCTCTGGGGCGCATGGGCCCAGTGTGTGGCTGGGGCTGGAAGCCGGGCCCTTGGGGGGTGAAGGCACCTTGGAGGTGAGATGGCCTCTCTACGAGCTGCGTTGACACTGTTGATGGAAGGGATTACAAGAATAGCTGGTTATTTTAATATTGAAGGGGCTCTCCCGGCCCCGCCCCCCCCAGCAATCCCTCCCCCTACTTTCTAACCCCAGGCTCAGGATCTGACCACAATTGCCAGCCCTTTGCTCAGGGAAGCGGCAGCGGTTAGCTTCTATCTGAACAGAGCAAGGCAAGTGCAACTCTGAGACGATGACTTCTGGGCCAGCCAGAGAGATCGACAAGCCCACCCAATTTCTGAGAATTTCTTACAAACCAAACCAAGCCAAAGCACTGGCACTTTACTCTAGAGGTGACAAATGCCATCAAAGTGTTGTCCTGAGTCCGATGTCCTGTGTCCTCTGTCAAGGTGGCATGGGCATTTGGAAATGACAGGGGAAAAGAAACTGGTACCAGTGACTGCACTCGGGGCATTTGGGAAACTGAGAAAAGTGGTAGCTTTTCTGCTTGCATGAAGGTTGCAATAGCATAAGTAGGTACATGCAAACAGTTCTTTTTAATTGGACAAGCAACTCTCTAAAGTTCACGGGCTCTTGTGGAATTGGAATTAAGTAGCAAACACCTCGGACTCTAAAATGCTGACGGTTATTTGTTGCTGGGATGGTTGGTTCTACATAAGCGACCCAAAGAACGGAGAGAAATACCGAAAAGCAGATGCGTTCCCTTTTGCGTCCAGTCTCAGCTACAGGGAATGGAAGTTAGGATGTTTAGTCTCTCAGTGGAAACCCCCTCTGAGATGCCTCAGCAGGTGGACTCTCCTTCGGAGGGAGGGAAAACAAACCTGGAGGAAGAAAAGCAGCCTTGGAACAAACAACTCTTCCTGCCTCTAAAGGTTAATTGACTCTAAAGTGATTTTCACTTCTTATTGTTCTACACATCTACAATAACAAACTCTTGCTAAAATTCCCAGGGATTGAGGGTATTTTAGGAGGGAGGGAGAGAGAGTGGGCGGGCAGGCACTGAATTGGTCTCCAAAAAGGGAGACCTGCTTCCCTACCCTCCTCCTCTTCGGTTGTCGGACAACCAGGCGTGCAGGACCTTCTTCGCACAGACTCTGTGGTCTTCCCACAGGGTTTTCCGCAAGCTCGGTTCTTCCAGAGCAGACCTCCCAGGTCAGCCAACCTGCGGGTCCAGAAAGACTCTGTTTATGTTTGACCAAATCTTCCCCTATTTGCTCTCTACTTTCAGAGGGCCAGGAGACTCAAAGAAAGAAAGTTCAGGTGGGGAGGGAAGCAGAAAGGAGGACAACTGGCACAGCGTTTCCTCTCGAAAATGCAATGTGGCCACCCAGCACTGGGCCAGCAAATGAAGCTGGTGCCAAAAAACAAGCCTTATGCCCTGGTTTTGGCCTTGCCCTCCCACCACTCTGCAAATTTCTCTGTGAAATCCCCATCTTTCACCCCAGCTGCCAGGGACACCCATCCCCCCCCTAAAAAAACCGAACTTTGCTTGGGACCAAGGAATCAAGCGGAGAACTTTCCAACCTTCCACAAAGAAACATTCGTTCAGTAAACAAAATCAGAGGGTTTCTTTGGAAGGTTCTTTTGGCAAGTTCATTTGATTGGCAAGGGGTTGGTGAGGAAAGGGACAAAGTGGAAGAGGGTGGGGTTGAGCTAATGGTTCTTTTTAAGGAATATGTGTAGGATCTGAGAAGTAAACGGTAAAAATAAGGGCCCTGCAGCTCTTTGAAACCTATTTCGAGCTGCACATTCTTTGGAGGAATTCGGAGCCTCCTAGCAGTGAGCAAGGCCCCATCTCTACCCTCCGCCTCATTCCTCAGTCATTCATAACAACATGTTAATAATAATAAATAATTGCTGTGAGGAGGGATCTTTCCAGGGTTCTCCCTCTTCTGGGTATCTGTCGCCCAGCTGAATGGAAGGCTTTGGGGAACGGAAGAGTTGGCAGTGCGGAGGACAAGCGGTTTTTTCTAACTGCCACAACCTTTCACCCTGTCTGCTCGGCAAACTTTCCCCCACTGGAGCTGATGTCCTCCAAGCACAAGCTCTGGGCCCAGGGGCCCTTGTCTGATTTGGGCCTGTTCTTCTTAGTAGGGCTTTCTGGAAGTCAGCCTGTGTGGCTGAGCAGCTTTTGTCTGAGTCTGGACAACTGCGTGTGTGTCCATGCATTCCACCCAGTTTGCCTGTGGACACTCTCTTATCCTTCAAATTCGGCATGTACATGCGCTTTAGCGTCCCTCTAATTTCCCCTGTTTGTTCGGATACAATCGCATGTATGTTCAACTGCACATTGGGATAACTGGGTTTGAGTCAGAGCTGGGGCTTAAACCACCCTCTGGGGCTGGGTGGGGTAGAGGCGGTGTGCCAGGGCAAGCACCGGGCTTTGGGTGGAGTGCACAAGGTTGCTAGAGGGTTCCAGGGGCCCTGGGGCCCTCTAGGCGTCTCTAATACTTTTATTTGCCCAGCGTCTTTCTCCTCCACGGAGGCTATCCCAGGTCTGGCGACTTTCAGGTAGGGTTGGACTGGCTTCTGGGATTTCTGGTGACTTGTGCCCCGGCGGAGTAGAGTGGTTGAGATCACAGACCCCGCCACCTAGCCTCCGCGTGCGCTCGGCTCCTAGAGGAAAGGGAGAAATCCTACTTCGGAGTCTCGAGACCTAGGTGCAGAAAGATATGCGCATTTGGGGCTAAAACCCTCCTAGGCCTCCCCAGCAGCCTCATTTGTAACTGGGAACTGGCTTGGGCCCGCCCCCTCGGCCCCTCCTCCCGCCCCCACCTCGGCGCTCGGCGGTCCGCCGGTGCTGGAGTCCTGGCCACCCCCAGCACCCCAGAGCTGGGGCGGGGAGGGGGAGGGCCTCTTCCAGGACCCCTGGAGCTGCCTAGGACCCTGAAGCTGGGAGGAAGGGAACCTAAAGGATGTTCAGGATAGTCCCCAGGCGTTTCTGCGATGTACCCCTCGGCGGGGAGACGCCTCTCGAGCTCTTTGGCCCACCAGTCTCCGAAGTCCGCGGGAGCGCCGGCCTCGGGCGTGCAGGGGGGCGGGGGTAGGCGCACGTGGTCGCGTGCGGCCGCAAGTATTTCCCAGAGGGATTAAACCGGGATTTATGCGTTTCTGGGATCCTGCGGATGTTGCTTTCTTGTGAGTATGAGGGAGAAAGGTGCGGATTGTAGGTTAACTTCAGGCCAGTCTGTAGGTAAGGGGCAACTGCCAATCGGTCGGTCGTCCTGTCTCTCCTATGCGTTTGCAAGAAAATGCATTCACCTCCACCCTGCCCCAAGTAGCCATCCAGGGTGGGCCCAAGGGCCACCTTCCGGGGGCCCTGAGAATTGGCCGGCTGAGACCCTTGAGCTACGAGGGCCTTCTGACCCTAAGGCACACGATGCCAGTTACTCACCAGAGTCAGGCAGGACGACTCCCTGTGGGCAAGAATGCCCCAGGCCTGCCAGCCCCCGCCGTGGGGCCTGGGTGGACCCCTAGCCTCACGCGTCGGAATTGAGGGCCTGGCACCCCAGTGCCTGCCGGGCCTGGGACTCCGCGGCGGCCGGGGAGGAAAAATGAGATGGAGTGAGGGTTCCGATGGTTGATACTGGATGAGGGAGGTACTGGTGAGAGAAGAAACCAGAACGGTGGGGATGGGCGAGAGGGCGGTGGGGTGGGATTTGGGGCAACCTCGGCTGGCGCCGGCTTCTCACCCTGTTGTGGGGAGGTGCTAAGGGCTGCTATGTGGCTCCCCCTACCCCCACCCCGGAAAATAAAGCTAATGATGTCGTTATTTAGAAGGGGGTGAGGGGCTGGGCGAGAGGAGGACGGGAGGATGGGGGCACGCTTGCCCTAAGAGCGAAGGCAAAGAGCAGTGGAGGCGCTGCCCGCGGCGCAGCCTTCCCTACGGGTTAGCTAGTCTGGGAGCCATCGGCCTTTCGCAAGAAAGGGTGGGGGGACGACAGCGAGAGGGAGAGGGCGCTCACCAGAGGACAGAGGGAGGGAGGGACCGAGAGATAGGAGCGAGAGAGCGCGCCGCGAGGTTTAAAAGGAGGCACTTACACTTCCTAATGAATATTTATCCGCCGCTGCTGCCTGCTCCCGGCTTCCCCTACTTTTCCGCAGGTAAGCTCCAGCCCCCAGCTGCCTGCCGGCTGCCCTGAGGTCCCGCGGGGCCCCGGTGGCCAGGCTCTACGGCCTGGGGCGGCCCGGCGCGGACCGTGGGCTGTGGGTGGTGGGTGAGTGGTGGGCGGGCGGCTCTGCTCGGCGTTGGACTGGGGCTCCGGGCGGCGGACCCCACACGCCCCAGCCCGCGGGCCCTGAGGCTGACGGCGGCGCGGGCGCGGGTGCGGGGGGCGGCCTGGAGGGCTGGGTGCCGTGCAGGTGCGGGGAGGGGGGCCGAGTGTGTTTTGTGTGCGGACGAGCGAACACCGATGTGTGCTGCGAGCGCGAGCGCCTCTCCGGGTGCCCGCGCGCTTTGGGGACATTTTCCGACTTTTCACTGGGGCGCCCGGGGGTTCTTGCCTTTGCTTGGCTTGGCTTTCCTCATCGCACTCCCCCCACCGCCAGTCCCACCCTACCTCCATCCCTCACCCCCCACGCCGCCCCTGCGGGCAGCTCTTCGTCCCGGCTATTGTCAGGATGGCGCGGGTGCTCCCCCCACCCCTACCCCCGGCCGGGTCCTGGGTCTCTCCGAAGAAAGGGAGAATAGTTCGGTTTCCGCCTAAAAGCCCTACACAAAGGCCTCCGGGCCACGGGACCCCCGCCCTCCTTCCCGCCCGCTTCGCTTGGGAGGCGCCAAGGCAAGGTACGGTCCCCTCCCCCTGCCCTTCCCCAGCCACTTGGTCCCCGGGATGCTGGAGCGTCGCCGCCCGCCGCCCGAGGGCCGAACCGGGAGCCCCGAGGGCCCCCCCCCCTCCATGAAAGGATGCCGCGCCCTTCCCTCCCTAGCCTCTGCCCTCCCGGGGAGTCCTCCAGAACTTGGGCGACGGGTGGAGGGGGGAAGTGAGAGGAGGAGGGAAGAGGGCTGGAGGGACTGTCGGTGTACACAGAATTTCTTTAAACCGACTTACCCTGGCACCTGTTGAAGCTCCCTGTGGGGTCGGCAGGCTCCAGAGTTGCACGAGAAAGAACCCACACCCAAAGCCGAAGTTGGACGCGGACCATCCTTTTGCTGGCCTTGCCGGAAGTGCCCCTCCATGCTAGTAGCCCGCGCTAGGGCCAGGAGGCTGTAGAGCCTAGTGCGACTGACTTGGCCAGGTGCCCCCGCCACCCTCGCGCCCCCTCTTCGCTCGCCTGCTCAGCTCCGAGGCTCGGGTTAGGGGGTGGGAGTGGAGGTATTGGGGGATGACTAGGTGCTCAGGACCCAGCCCCAGTCGCTCAGCTGAAGCAGTGGCCCGCTTTCTAAGCCCTGCTCAGAAGTCAAGAGCAGGGGCGCCGCCGACTCTGCGTGGCCTTTCATGCCGGGGCCTCTCCTTGTTCTTGTGACTCGGCTTCTCCGGGCGCCCCGGGACAAAGCCCCCGAAGTCCAGCCTCTCACTTCGCGCTAAATCCTCTTCGGGGTCAGTGCGCCACCAGCCCGGCCGAGAGCCTCTCCTGCCAGCGGTGTGCCTCTTAAAGACCTGCACCCCTCCGCCCTGTGCACTCCCCGACCCCCTCCTCCCCGCCCCTCTCCTCGGATCTAGCCCCCACGCCGACTCCCGAGAACCCCCGCTGCCCTGGCCCACGCCTGCGGACTCCCAGCCCCCTCCCCTCTCCTCCCCTGAGCAAGCGGTGGGCCTGGCCTGGGGCCACCGGCTGACTGCTACCCTCTGCCTCAAGTCCCCTGTCTTTCCACCAGTACCCACCCTTCCCTCTCACGCCCCCACCTTTGCCCTTTGAGGAGGCGGGTCAAGGCCAAGACACTCCCTTGGCCTAGCACAGAGATGATCCCAAAGATTGTCAGCTTGGACCTGACTCATAGGATGTGGGGCATCCAGTGGAGGTGGGTGAGAGTAAGAGAAGGAGGGCCAGAGGGATTTCTAGGGTTGCTTTTGGCAGAGGGGTGGACTAGTGGGGTCCCAGTCCTCCAAGAACTGGTTGCCCTGGAATGGGGCCTGGGGAGACTAACTTGGGGAAGCCAGCAGGCATTTTCGAGATTGGGGGGTATGTGGGGTCACTTCCAGAAAGTTCTGAATA